TATGCCATGGAGATAGTAATCATTATAAAGAGGGCTTCTGCGGCACCTATTGGTGCATTCCCCCATATACATTGTACTTTGACAAGTGGCTCTAGGTCGGGTCTTTCCTTTTGGAGTGGGAAGGTATCTGTACCCATCCATATATGAGGAACCAGCATCTAAGTATGTACCTGCCTTTCTATTCTGTATATTTCTAGCAGCAGCTGTGAATTTCCTGCTGTTTATGATCCATGGCAATATGGCGGCGATCTACGGCACAGCCGATGATACTGCACAGCCGCGATCTACGGCAAAATGGCGGCTATTCGCGCATGCGCAGTACCGCTTCTTTTAACTTCGGACGATAGAGCGGGATTTTCGCGCATGCGCGAACCGCGTTTAAAGGGAAGTCTGGCTGTCACACTGCTAGTGGCGTCCATCCTCTGAAGAAGTGCATTTAGCACGAAAGGCCTCAGGAGGAGCCAGTAGCAAGTGTGACTTCCTGACCACTGAGACCACGAGGAGGTCCAGTGGTCTTTGATCTTTACTATTGCCGGGTTAGTACAATTTTTGATCTCATACCTACCTGTCCGTTATTGGCTAATGGTATATGTATGTGTATGTGCATGTGACCCAGGCATCATGATTTTTGCTCCAATAAAGTTTTCAAACTACCACACTATTGGCGTTCCCCTTTTTTCTTGACTCTCCTGTTGGAGGGTTGCAGATTTACATCTTCCATTCTTGGGGTACCTGGAACCAGAAGGGGGATCCCTGTCTACCTATCATTTGGGGCGAGAGGGTCTCTGGATCTGGAGGTATTGCTACACCCAAGGCGGATGTCAGTGTTTGAGAGGGAGGATCCGTGTGGTTTCTGGAGCTGCATACCTGGCTGGTCTTCTGGATAATATCATACACAGGCGCATTTAAAATGTGCGGTCGGTGAGTGCGCATTTTTGCTATTTTGATTCCAGTCACCTAATGAGGAGAAGGCCTGCACATATTTGGTTTTATTATTGCAAGAAAGACTCTATGAACGAATTTATACAAATTTTATCACATTACAGCGCTGCACTATATATATGTATAATGTCTTTGTTATGAGGTCTAGTGATCCCTTGAAGTGTTCCAGTGGCTGGTTTTTCTGAGCGCTCGCTATACCCACAATTCATCAATAGTCATTGTAGAACTAATCTTCATGTGTATGACTGACAGTAGTGATGGTTATTTGTGTAAAGACAGGTCTTGCAGCCCCGGGGAGCCTATGGCTTCCTACCTAATGCTGTAAATCCTGGCACAAATGTTTTAGAGGCTCATCAGAGGCTGCATTGTTCTCAATATAGGATTATGGAAAGGAGTTAGCCATGCATGCAGGAATTTCTCATTCTAGTAATTTGTGGATCTGATAAAAATATGTACATTTAAGTTATTGCCTTACCATTAACATAAAAAAAAGTTTTTGTTTAGTTTACTGCTGCTTTAAGAATTTACTAGCCTGAGCTGAAAAAAGAATGCTTGGCAGGTGTTTCTGAATGACAGAGCTAATTCTGAATACTGAGCTGAATACTTCAATATACATGCAACCAGTCGACGGGTTTGGGCATATGCCAACTGAATGAGGGTTGTTTACTAAAGCTTGAGAGTGCAAAATCTGGTGCAACTCTGCATATAAACCAATCAGCTTTCAGGTTTTATTGCCAAAGCTTGATTGAACAAACTGAGGTTAGAAGTTGATTGGCTACCATGCACAGCTGCACCAGATTCTGAGTGCACCAGTTTTAGTAAATCTTCCCCAATGTCTCAAGACTCTAAAGATAGATCAGTCGGAACTCAAATCAACCACTGCTTCATCAACAAAGGCGCTGGATACTCTTCGGCATGTGTGAATCCACTGTACAGGGGCACTGGTGGTACAGAAGAGGCTCAATCCCATCTGCACTGGTTAGTCATTTTGAGAGAGTAGACGCCTCCTGAAGCACCTGCCCAATGCTGCATAGTATGCCTGCTAGTAGCAACACAACAGGAGCTTGTAAGCGTGCTATTGGGATAGCAGCCTGTGTGCCTGTTGAGTCTAGCTTGTATCAATAAAGAAGGTTTTTTTTATTTTGAAGAGGATCGGTTCTTCCATCTATAGAAGGTAAATCTCCAGGAAAGCAGATAACAGAAATCTAACCAATTTTCCTTAATCAACACATTAAAATAAGTTAGCACAAATTCAATGTATTTAACAAAGTTATGGAAAAACACAAGGAAATGAAAACTGAGAAAAAATGCATTATGCTTGTATCTCATTGCAGTGTGAAGTGTAAAGCATTATGGGATTTTACAACCATTATAGTGCCAAGTGTAATAGCTTGGGATCACAGTAATCAAAACCTAACATACTAAACTAAGTGGCAGAAATATGCACATACAGTCTTGAATGTGTTAACTCTGTATGCCACGCTGCATTCTGATAAACAGCTATAATTAGTTACATGCACAGTTGGTCAGTTCAGATTACAAACGCTTAAACAACTGCCTGGAGCTTCATAATAAATAATGAAAGCTCACATGGAATTCCTTGTTTTCCATGGAACCCAGATGTAATGGTTTTGGCAAGAAACCTTGCGATATTTAAATGTATTCCCCATGTATTTCTAAAGGCCGCCTGCTCTTGTCAAGATTTCTGTAGAGAGCACTTTTCTGTGCTGAAACAGCTTTCACGCAAAGAGGAAAAAGAAAATCAGTGTCAGTGTCAAGGAGAGAGAATTCTTTAGTTTCATCCGGTTTGTAAGATACAAGGCAGCGATTTTGCCTCTCTTTAGTCTGTGATGAAATAGAATTCTTTAAATAATATATGCTGGAATTTGTAGTTGAGCATTAACTCAAGGGACACCAAAATGCACGCTGGGAAATAATCAAAGCCAGCAAGTACTGGAGAACCAGTCATATGCAGCCCACTGGATTTATGGCAAGCCTTTTTTTAACCACATGAATGATAACTTTAAACAGGAGCTCAATGTTTTTTTCTTGTAAGCCAAACAAGGAGTTCAGTCCTCTGCTTGGTCTTATTGCTGTCCATTACCATCGAGGCCCCAACCCCCAATGCAGTCATCGCTCTCTCGAAGGCACTTGCATATTGTTAAACTACTGGGGGCTCTCATAAGACTTCAATGGTGTCATCAGCTACCTACTGTACGGATATATAAAGTAGCCATTTTCAACCAGGGTTTCTCCAGAGGTTGATAGGGGTTCCTTGAGCTATGGCTGATTAACTTCCCATCCGATGGTACTTCTATAGTTCCAGGTCCAAGGTCACTAGGTAGAGCCAGTTGCTTTATCCCCATGACCATTTTAACTGTCTGTAAAGATTACATCGTTATCACTATAACAGGGACATTCTTTCCACTGATCATCAATGTAAGGGGCAGTTTTTCTCAAACCCTAAAAATTTTTTCTTTTTCAATAAGGGTTCCCCGAGACATAAAAATTATTTCAAGGGTTCTCCTGGGGTAAAAAAGTTGAGAAAGGTTGATATAAAGGTACAGGTTCAATGAAGAGGTGTGGACCAGAGGTTTTTGCTGGGATCCCAAATCCACTGTGGGATAGAATCATTCCCCACATGACCAACATTTCAAAATGAAAGGGTGGAGATGTACTTTAAGCAGCAGTACTTTCTGAGATGACATGAAAGATGCTATAGATTATTTTTGTTGGCCAGCTAAATGATGTATTTTGTTGTTACCATGCAGAAAAAAGGATACAGAAATGCTTCAGTGAACTGGAAAAAATGAGCCAGAAAAAAATTCAGAACTTATCTGTATAAGGTCAAGGACTCCAGAGACACAGCATGGCTGCCAGATAGGTCTGCAATGCCAGCCTCCTTGTTTCTCTAGTGGCAGGTTTACTTTATGATTCCAGCACAATAAAGCTGACGTTTTACCTCATGCTGCAAAAACATGAGCCATATTTGCAGGTTTTATTTGGGTAGTGCATACTAGGAGCCATTAATATGTGCAGTCCCTTCTGCATATTGATGCTTCATGTTTCAATGCAGAAATGACTTGGAAATAATTATTTTAAAGAAAACCTCTCACAAGAGAAATATGCAATCTGCTTTAGTTAACCTTTGCCTGGCTGTCATATTGACCCTCTAGCTTCATCACTTTGCTGATTTACTAAAGAAGTAGCTATGGTTCACTTAGCAAAGTGAATGTTTGCTGAGCTTAGAAAATAGGGTTAAGCTATATTTACATGTCATGTTTCCCTATTATCTGCTAGCAAAATCCCTGATTTTCAATTTCCCTTGAACATGGTTGAACAGGCTCACCTATCCAGATCTGCATACAGTACTTGTCCTAGGTCAGGGACACAGAAAGCCTGAAGCCATAGGGCCAGCATAATGGCCAGGTGCTTAGCATTTTTAGATGGAATTTAACGATGGCCCATAGTTCTCAAAAGGCAAGTTTCTTTAAAGTGAACTTGTGCCCAGTCTATTCAGGCAAATATATTTACATATTTACTCTACAAACAGTAAAATTATATTAAAACAAGCCTTCAACCACTTCTGTATCTATAGGCATTGTGGAGAAAATACTCTTCAAAATGTCAACAGATACACTGAAATCTGTTTTCCTATTATTTTCAATTGCAGCAGAATCTTTGCAACCTGTCAACTCTCTAATGTAACACACAGCAGGTTTTCTAAGCTATGAAAATTAACTTTAGTGTTTTTTTTGTGTTCTTAAAGGATATTTGAGAATCAATTACTTCTTAGTACATGCAACTAAAGATATCAAAGGTGGATTTGTTTTTTAAACTGCTTATTAGGAATTTGCAAATACTTTAATGGTCATAGTCTGGGCAATATTGCACTTTAACTGTGTATATCTTCAGCTTTACATGAAGTACATTATGTGGGAAGAAGGTAGGTGCATATCAATTGTTTTGGAAAACTTGCATTTTATTAAGCGGACACAGTTAGTTATTCTTGGGAAGTAACCAAACTTTACACGTATATGGACAGCGATATAATTTACCTCATCTATAATTGGCTTTAATGTAACTTGTAGATAGTGCATCCCAGCCAGTTTCATGGTTTCATCTATACATTTTGATGTTAACGAGTTGCCTCTAAAAATTGTGTTTGGATCTCTAAAAAAAGAAAAAAAAAAGATTTCAAATATATTGCAGGTCAGAATTTGGAAATTATCATCTTCACATTTTAATATATAAACTGTCCCACTGATTGGGCTCAGAGACTTAAATATATGGCTCTTGAAAGACAGTAAAAGGTAGTCCTAACAACTCAACTCATATGTAGTTCATATACACACATATAGGCTTATGCAATGATTCTAGAACATCTGTCAGTTTTTGGACAGAAAGTATGGTGAAATCTCCACAAAAGGAACCCTTGAACTATTGGATCAACCTAGACAATCAGGTGGACACAGTGCCCTGCTTCACTTGCCAAACCCTACAGGGCTTTTAACCTTCTACACGCCTCACAGCTCCCCCTTTTTTTTCCCTCTTCCCTAACCCTCACTTTCCATTTTTCCTTATCTATATGTCCCCTCTAACCTTAACACAAATGGTTAAAAGAGAAGTATGGCTTTTGAAAAAACAACGGCTAGAGAGCTGCTGTGGAGGGGACAAAAGTGGCTGTCTCAGGCTCTCAGTGGTGTGCTGAAAAGCTGAGCCAGCTGCTGCTCAGGCTTTTAAGTGGATCCCAACATTAAAGAGGCTGGAGCTTTAATCCACTGTCGGCTGAATTCGGGACACAGGAGTGCAGAATGAGGTGCACTTCTGTGTCTTACAGGAGAAGTAGAGCCAAAATTACTTTGGCCCTGCTTCTCCTTTAAATTACCCAATAGTGATGGATGACAACCACCTTTTGGGTTAATCCTCTCCTAAGAAAGGGAAATCTGAACCCTAGTTTCCATTCCTTCCAGCAAATTTTAGATGTAAAAAAAAACCTTTTTTGCCTGCCTCCAAGGTAGGAGCTCAGTTTTTACGTTATCTTTTTTTTAGTGTTTTCGTAAAAATGTTTCAACAAAATATGCAGTTGTTTATCTAAAAAAAGATTTATTCTAGATTTTATTACTCATGGATAACAAGTATCCAATTTGGTTCCTATGATATTTTACTTTGTTGATTTTAGAAATCATAAACAGTATTTTGGGAAAAAAATCAACAACAATTTACTAAACAAAATCTCCTGAACATGAACAAAGTGGTAAAAACCACAGTGTAACAATATGTGATAAGGTGCACTTCTAGAAACTTCCTCCACCACACATATGCAATGTGCATTCACCAACCATGTTGGCTGGCGATAACAGTGCAGCAAGATAGCGTTTCACATAAATAAATTGCATTAGAGAGCGAGAGGTTGCATCGCCACTTCGAGAACCTGAGTGGTGGCGTCTGATGTAAGTACCAGTGGCTTTTCAATACATATATGGTTTTTAACTGTATGTTTTTAACATTTTTGGCTGATATGTTATAAATTTAATAAATACTACACTATAGTGCCTTGAAACATACCCCTTCATACCCCTTGAAATTTTCCACATGTAAATGTATTATTATTATTTATTGGGATTTTATGTGATAGACCAACACAAAGTAGCACATAATTATGAAGTGGAAGGAAAATGATAAATGATTTTCAAATTTTTTTTTTACCAATAAATATTTGAAAAGTGTGGCGTGCATTTGTATTCAGCCCCCGAGTCAATACTTTGTAGAACCACCGTTCGCGGCAATTCCAGCTGCAAGTCTTTTTGTGTATGTCTCTACCAGCTCTACCAGTGAAATTTTTGCCCATTCTTCTTTGTAAAATAGCTCAAGCTCTTTCAGATTGGATGGAGAGCGTCTTTGAACAGCAATTTTCAAGCATTGCTGCAGATTCTCAATCGGATTTAGGTCTGGACTTTGACTGGGCCATTCTAACACATGAATATGCTTTAATCTAAACCCATTTAGTATTTAAAAGGCTAAAAATCAAACCTATGTGGCTTACGGCCAAAGTTAAAAAAGCTATAGATAATATGAAAAGAGCTTTTTTTAAATATAAAAATGAAGGAACGCTATCAAAGTTTTAACATTACAAAGAATATAACAGAATATGTAAAAAGGAAATCAAGGCAAAAAGGAAATTAAAGAATTGAGCTCTGTCATTTCAATGCCATTGTTTCTAATTTGTAGGGACTCTTTAGTGACTGGCATAGTACCACTGGATTGGCGTAAGGCCAATGTGATTCCAATATTTAAAAAGGGGTCAAAATCTTTACCAAGTAATTATAGACCTGTTAGTTTAACTTCTATAGTTGGAAAGATACTAGAGAGTTTAATAAAAGACCACATAGATGAGTTCTTGTTGGAAAAAAAATATTTTAAGCAACAGACAACATGGATTCATGAAAGACAGAAGTTGTCAAACAAATCTGATTTCTTTTTATGAGGAGGTGAGGAAAACCTTGGATAGAGGGGTTGATGTGGTATACTTAGAATTTGAAAAAGCGTTTGACACAGTTCCCCACACACGGCTAATGTGTGATGTAAAGTCTACGGGCTCAGAAAAATCTGTTTGTAAATGGCTAGAAAACTGGCTATAAGATCGTATTCAGAGAGTAGTGGTTAATGATTCATACTCTGAATGGTCTAGGGTTGTCAGTGGAGTACCCCAAGGTTCAGTGTTGGGACCCTTACTGTTTAAAATATTTATAAACGATATAGGGTCTGGAATTAAAAATACAATTTCAGTCTTTGCAGATGACACCAAGCTGTGCAGTGGAATAACGTCCTTACAGGATGTCTCCAACTTACAAGCCGACCTCAATGCACTGTTTAATTGGGCAACAGATGAGGTTTCATGCTGATAAATGTAAGGTTATGCATTTGGGGGCTAGGAATATGCATGCATCTCCTAGATTGTAAGCTCCAAGCTCCAAGGAGCAGGTCCCTCCTTTCCCTCTTGTATTGAACTGCATTGTTGCTGTATTGTCTCCCGTTATATTGTAAAGCGCTGAGCAAACTGTTGGCGCTATATAAATCCCGTATAATAATAATAATACTAGGGGGGGGCACAACTGGGGGAATCAATGGTGGAGAAGGATCTGGGAGTTCTGGTAGATCACAAGCTTACTAATGGCACACAATGCCAAGCTGCGGTTTCTAAAGTGAGCAAAATACTTTCTTGTATTAAAAGAGGTATAGACTCCAGAGAGAGAGATATCATATTACCCCTGTACAAATCATTAGTAACACCTCATCTGGAATATGCAGTTCAGTTTTGGGCACCAATTCACAAAAAGAACATTGGGGAACTGGAGAAAGTACAGAGAAGGGCAACCAAACTGATACGAGGCATGGAGGAGCTCAACTATGAGGAAAGATTAGAGGAACTGAATTTATTATCTTTTGAGAAGAGGAGATTAAGGGGGGATATGATCAACATGTATAAATACATCAGTAGTTCATATATTGAACTCGGTGTTGAGTTATTCACCCCGAGGTCATCACAGAGGACAAGGGGGCACTATTTATGTCTGCAAAAAGAAATGTAATCTCCAAACATGGAAAGGTTTCTTCACAGTGAGAGCTGTGAAAATGTGGAATAGACTCCCTCAAGAGGTGGTTCTGGCCAGCTCAGTGGATTGCTTTAAAAAGGCCTGGATTATTTCTTCTATACACAGACTATAACAGGATACTAACATTTATAAGTAAAGTTGATCCATGGAATATCCAATTGCCTCTTGGGGGATAAGGAAAGAATTTTTTCCCTTGCAAGAGCAATTTGAATCATGCTTTGCTGGGTTTTTTGCCTTCCTCTGGATCAACTGTGGGTGTAGGATTATAACTTTTTTTTTTTTAATGGTTGAACTGGATGGAGTTTTGTTTTTTTTCAGCCAGACTAACTATGTAGCTCTGGCTGTATGTTTAGGGTTGTTGTCCTGCTGGAAGTTGAACCTCTGCCCCAGTCTCAAGTCTATTGCAGACTCTAACCTCGCTGACAGCTGCGCGATTACCATGGCAACCTGGAGATTTCAACAGGCAGTGCGAGCCATTGTACAGCACTATTGCGGATTTGGAGAAGTAGGCACTTTGAGACCAGATCGGGATCCTTCTCTTATACCGTTGAGGGACCACCAGAGGATTCCATCTCCGAGCTGTCTTTATCCGAGGATGCATGTGATCCAGATATGCGTTTTTGTACTGGGTTTCTCGTGAGTAGGCAATCTATTCATATTACCACAACGGGAGACCGGATTGCATCTACAACGTTAGAAGTTTTCATTGTGGACTGAGGAATCCGTATACTGATATTACAATGGACTTATTTTCATTTTTCTGTTATTAAGGTTTAATTTCATATAGCGCTACACTACTTGTTTTTATGCATTTATTTGAAAGGGTCTTGTAGTTCCTTTTAGTGCATTGGTCGCTTTTCGGATTGCGCTCACTAACCTACATTTCCTGAGGTTTTCTTGTAAGATTGTCCTGTATTTGGCTCCATCCATCTTCCCATCAATTCTGACCAGCTTCCCTGTCCTTGCTGAAGAAAAGCATCCCCACAACATGATACTGCCACCGCCATGCTTCACGGTAGGGATTGTGTGTTCAGGGTGATGTGCAATGTTAGTTTTCTGAGATTAAATTACACATAGGTGGACTCTATTTACTCATTAGGTGACTTCTGAAGGCAATTGGTTCCACTAGATTTTAGTTAGGAGTATCAGAGTAAAGGGGGCTGAATACAAATGGACACCACACTTTTCAGATATTTATTTGTAAAAAATTTGGAAAACCATTTCCTTCCACTTCACAATTACTTCACAATTATGTGCTACTTTAGGTTGGTCTATCATAAAATCCCAATAAAAATACATTTACATTTTTGGTTGTAACATGACATAATGTGGACATTTCAAGGGGTATGAATATTTTTTCAAAGCACTGTATATGGTGGTCTTGTTCTTATTGGTGATGCTGGAGTACATAAGCAAGACAGCACCCCTCTGTAGGAGAGAATAGAAGAGTGAGAGTACTGTTTACAAGAAGGATAATCGCTACCTGCACTTAATTTATGTGAAATGCTTGCTGCACTGTTATCTGGCAGTCCATATAGTTGGTGAGTGCACATTGCA